TTACTAAAGAACATCACAAATATTAATTACATACATACCTCCACAATTAAACTTTCGGTTGTTATGCACTCGCCTTGCTCATCTTGAAATTCTAATATAATATCGTCTTGTACAGATTCTAAATTATCTTGAATTTGACTAACCACGTTTTGAGAGACATTTTCCTAAAACATATCTAATTATAATTCTCTTTTAAATGTTTCTTAGTGCAGCTAATTATTAATAAAAATACCTATCAGTAATATTATATCTGCCAATTTGCTTAATTTGTTTTATTATTCTATCGATGTTGGCCAACCAGAATAAAAAATAATACTTTCATCATAACAAATTGTGGTGGTTTATATCGTAGCAACAATAAAACTGTTTCTTTGCAAGCTTGACATATTTATTAGTTTTTCTTTTTAATACATGATAAAAATTAAAAACAATACCCTTCTTTTAACGGTTTTTCCTTTTTTTTAAAGCATTGTGTTGTAGTGCCATAGCGAGTACTATAGAGAATACCTACCTCTGTTTTATTTTGGTCACAATCGTAAGCACTTGTGTCTTCTTGAAATTCATAAGGGATTAGGTCATATATAATCCAATCCAGTTCTGTTGGTTCATTAGGAGCTGGACCACCACCAGTTTTAAGTTTATCTTTTTTATAAGAACAAATATTTTTCTTTGCTTGTACCTTTAGTCGTTGCCATTCCTGTTTGATTTTGGGGATATCTCTGAAGTAGCCTAGCGGCAATGAAACGATTAATAAAGAGTGAGGTATAATTTTCAGTTAATATTACCTTGAACTTCTAATTTTCTTTTTATGATATTCCAGGCTGCTGCTTTGTCTCTATTAGCTGTTGTTAACTTCCTTTTACATTCTAATACTTTTATGTTGTCTTTAACTCCGTCTAGCAGTACAAGTTTTTCTTTTTCTTCCCAATTCACAGATCTTGGACGTTTCTGTAACCAAATTAAAATTAATACGAATTTTAACCATGACAGTGGTGCGCAAATGGGACTTCCTCTTACCTTATCCATAGTGATAATAAAACAGATATTCAGGATAACAAAAATCTCCGAATTTCCCTTAATAAAATTAAAGGTTAGAATCACAACACAACAGAACATCGAACATTACCAATACAGAGCACAGACGTATATCTTATATCACAGAACGTGACAGAACATCAAATAAATTTTATAAAGAGAAATATGAGCGAATATAGCCGTTTACGTATTTTACGTTGTTGTCATGTTTATTGTACAAAAACATGTTGTTTGTTACATGTTTCTAAGTATTCAATTATTAATATGATTTGCTTAGCATACTGTAAGTATGCTCTTAGTAACCATTAGATAACATGCTGTTATCGTGTTTATTATTAATAAGGCTGTATATGTTTACGAATATCGGAGCTGCTTTCTCGAATGCCCCAGCAAGAGAGAACTCTTCTCGAGATAAAACTTCTCCAACTTACATATGAGGCAGCTAAAGATTATTTGCAATGAATATTGTTAGTAATATGTATTGCATTGGATTAGATACCTTTTTTTTATTAACCCGAATACATCTGAACTAATTTAGTGTTAATGATTAGTGAAGGCTGAATTTTATTACATCTTATGTGATGTGATGAAATAGTTTTTAATAAATCGTTAAAATGAAAATAAAACATGAAGATATAAATTAAATATTTATTTATTTATTCCACTGAAATGGAACTACCCCCTCATTTATAAAGTACAGCGCTAACTTATGTCTCATTTCTTCTGCGGGTCGCCCATACATATTGGTGCTTGTTCTTTTTACAGCCCCTAAGATTGCTATTTTGTTCTTTCCTCCATTCTCCTTCAATTAATTCTCCTTCATTATCTTCCTGGTCTGCAGAGCTGGGTGTAAAATAAGTTGTATTTGCAAAAGTCATTAAAAAATTATGTAGACAAACTGTAGCTTTTATGATCTTTACTACAGTGGTTTCGCTTGCTATTATTGGTTTCCTATAAATTCGCCATCTCGATGCTAGAATCCCAAATGTATTCTCAATAACCCGACGCCCTCTGCATAATCTAAAAGAATTTATTTAACATTATACTTATTCCATTTAAATTATTGTTAATAATAAGTATTTTGAATACTATTTTATGACAATAAAATTTGGCATTTCATTTACCTATCCGCACTAAGATTCGCTTAGTTTGTGGCAAAAAATTGCCTGCATATGGCCTCATAATGGTCGTTGACAGTGGAAATGCTTCGTCAGCACAAATGTAGTAATTCATTGGTTGTTTATCCTGTCCTAATGGAGAAGGGGCTGGAAGATTTAAGTTGTTTGATATAATACANCAACAATCATAGTATGTTAAAAACTTAAAAAGTGAGGTTAAAAAACATACGATTTCGGACAAAAGTTAAAATTATTTCTACTTTTTCCGACATCGTATGAATTTTTAAAATTTTCGGATGAAAATGAGCGGTAAAATATTTGAATGTATATTAACCAATAGAAACACTTTCGGACCTTCGTGTCGTCGGATATCAGATGCGTGGGACACCGGCCTTAGTCGGAAATTGAAAACTTGCTTCTCTTGAGTAGTTGCTTTTTTACCTGGATATGGCCGAAGCAATCTCCGACAATGCAGTACTCCAGTACGGGTCCATCATCGAATACTGGAGATGCTGGAGGTACATTCATTGTATTATTTCCAAATCTTCTGCCAAAATTACTTTCTTGAAATATGCCTCCATCACTTCTCCTTCCATATGAACCAATGTCAACAAGAGTGCATACGAAGCCGTACAAACTGCTAATAGAACACTATGAGATCCTTTATAATTATAGTATGACGATCCAGCATTTCTTGGACACTACAATAAAATATGAATCGACTAATATTGCTATTATAAACATGTGTGAAAAATAATTATGAAAATATTAACATACTTGAATTACTATATGTTTCCCATCAATAGCACCGATGCAGTGAGGAAAATCCCATTTCTCTTCAAATTGTTTGCTATTATCAATCCATTTTTCTTGAGTAAATTTATTTGGTAATACTGCAGGCTGCAAGTTTTTCCAAATAGCTTTGCAAACTTCATAAATAATATTAGCTGTAGTAGTGTAACCAACTAAATATTGGTACGAGATTGATATTATGGAATCCCCAGAAGCGAGAAACCTATAAATTAAGATGATATCAACTCTTCTTATTATTCTATATTTTATTATTTAAGGTGGCCATATTTCCGGGGAAAAAATAACCCGTATTTGTAGTGTTTTTAGGTACTGGAATCTCAAAATAAAGCGCATGAAGAACAAAACTAAATGCCATAATAGAATCCCTAAACTTTTGTTTATTCATTCTTACCATTTAAAAGTTGCTAATATAAAATTATAACTTTAAAAACACGTTTTTAAGACTCACCTTTGTTGCTAACCTAATGTCACATCTTAACATGGATTTTCTCATGCATATAAAACAAAAGTAAACAATTTTATATGCAGCACTATGTAAGTTTATGTCATACGAATATTTAGGTGTACAGAAAAATATAAAAAGTAGTTATTTTGACAAATTTCAGTTCCTAAAAACGTATCGGTATTTTTACATAAGGTTCATTATCTCACAAACTTCGTCTAGTCCATTGTCTAGAAATCTGTTAAGATAATAAAAATTTTACTCAATTTTATGATAGAATAGTTCAGCATCGGATTAAAAGGTAAAGTCAATTTCTATTACACAGGGAGCCAAATTTTGCAATCAAATATTCTGTTGAAAATTAGTTTTTAACATAGGTATTTAGTTTTCTAAAAAGAAGTTTTGAGACTACTGTTACCACTTCTATTCAATTAAATACAGGGTAATTTAGAAATACAAGGAAAAAATTAGGTACAGTCTACTTACGTGAGAAATTTTTTGACCCGTATTTTCTGATTTCTCGATTTATAATTTTTGTAGGCCCTGCGGCTCCTTGATATTGACCATAAAATTTCGTTTTGAGCAAATATCTCCGAAACTGTAACCCGTAAACAAGACAATAAAGATGTGGACCAATTGATAAACTTTTAACAAATGTTCCTTTCTTCTTCCTTTAATGTTTAATTTCTACAAAAAATCTCGTTTATGATACTATCTTTAGAAGGTAAACGGATAATTGAAAATTTTTTAAATTACATAATTTATTAAAATCCTTGAGAGAAAATAAGGTGACAGCGAAATCACGAATTGACAACTATCACTCAATCAATTATCTTCACAGCTACCATTTACATTTTATGAATTTATACTTTTCAAGTTTGTCAGTGGTAGTACACTGTATCTTTAGCAACGTTTTCTGTAAAATTAAACTTCAAATGAAAAAGTAAAGAGAAAAATTCAAATACATGGAAAAACTATAGTATTAATAATGTTCATATAGACTATCTACAACCCCATATAAATTTTATTAATGTCGCCTTTACGTTTTCGAAGATGTTGTAAGACCAATTTCAAGGGGCCCCAAAAAATAAAACATTGGGAAACCAAAAAAAAATACGGTCGAATAATTTCTCACGCAGATTATACCTGTATAACCAATTGTTTTCCTAGTATTTCTGAACTACCTACTCAGTTTATTTAGATATTTACTTCTAGTAAAGTTTCAGTGAAAAATTTATTGTGCACAAATAAACTGAGTAAACGTCAAGCAGAGAAACAAATGATTGAAAATGTGAATTTGCTTTCTAATAATGATGGTATTTATATAACGTAACAAAAACAAAGGAACACAAGTAGACTATAGGCATGTTATCTTTTATTTTCGAGTAAAGAACGCCAAATATAATTTATTAAGTATTACTCATATAAGAGGGTAATTAAAAAATTTCCAAACAAATTTCTCGATCTGTTAATAAATTACTCAATTATTATTTCAAATATTTATTATTAAATATTGTAAGAGTTGAGTAATAAAGAGCAAATATAAATACATTCATTATATAATTCTATAATTTTACATTTATTATATGTATTATATTATTCGATAGTAGTAAATAATAAATTATACATACACAGTGTGTCCAATTAAGTCGGCACCATATGGGATACTTTTTTATTATTGGTTATATTAAAAAGAGTTAATCTTGATAAACCGCATGGCCTAAAACCCAAAATGAAATAATCAGATTTCAATTTTTTCCAGTCGTATACGAGGTTTGTCGAAAAATGTAAATTTTGCCCAAGAGTAAAGTATGTACCTTTATTTTTTACAATATCGACAATCGTTATTAAGCTTAGTTGATCCTAATAGAAAACTACGCTCAGGTATCCAATATTATCCATCTACCATTAAAAAACGGAATTTGTTATTTTTACAAACACTTCTCTGTATTACCATCGACAATTTACGTCTAGAGATCGACATTAAATCTAGGATGCATTGACGAACAAATTAATTCAATACAATACCTAAATGTTTTATGATTTGCAAAATTAAATTATAATTTATTTGTTTGTTTCATACTATGTATATATACCCAAAAATTATTAAAGATTATTTTTAATTGTAGATGGACAATATTGGAAATCTGACCGTAGTTTTCTATTAGGATCAACTTTTCTTAATAACGATTGTCGATATTGTAAAAAATAAAGGTACTCTTGAGCAAAAACATTTTTCAACAAACCTCGTATACGACTGAAAAAAATTGAAATGTGATTATTTCATTGGCTTTTAGGCCTTTTTATTAAGAATAACTTTTTGTCATAAAACCAATAATAAATGTAAAGGTATGTATCACCTTACCTTTTGTTAATAATAATTATTCATTTAAATGTAAATATTTTTTATAAGCTCTTGATATAGTTTAAGCAAGTTTTAATTTTTAGGAGTAGTGGGGGCCATTGATGGAACGAATATAAAATTCAAAGCCCCCCTTGAGCAGCAAGATAGCTACATCGATAAAAACGATACTCACAGTATTAAGCTCCAAGCAATATGCACATCACAAAAAATTTTTATCAATATAATGGCTGGTTTCCCAGGATCCGCTCATGATTCTCGGGTAATTATTCTTTTCCTGTGTATAGGTATATAGTCATGTACGTATATAAAAAGGTCTTAAAAGGCTGCCCCTTTGGAACTTTATGTTACAAGTATACCTATACAGAACCGTCTATGTCAATAATGAGGTATTTGTTGCCAAACTGGTTTGGATTTTAGCAGTAATTGAGGGGAATAACTTAAAATAACCCAAGGGTGGGGTACTACGTTAATATGCACATGACTCTAACTATATTTGAAGTTCAAAATTTCCGTAAGTGACTCATCATATCATAAGGCACATTCTGTTAATTTTGAAAAAAAAGTTTCAGTACTATCTTTACAGGTCTTTAAAAATTCAGAAATTTACCAGGAACTATTAAGAGGGAACAAAAGAAAGTATTTTCCTACAGAAAATTATCATCTTATTGGTGACA